TCTTAATTGAACAACTACCGTATTAAGGGCGGTAGCATGAAGCTAATCTGGTAACATCCCCCGGTCGGAAGAACACCTCTACGCGAAAGATTTAATCGCTCTCCCAAACCCCAGACCACCCGACCGTAACAATAGCATTGTGAGGGTATGAAAACTAATTCTTGTATAGCAAATTCTGTTGATATTCTACAACAAGTTTAGTTGCACTGCAAACAGTGAGTATTTGAGTAATATTTACGATTTATAACAAACAAGATAATGTCTTGTCAATTCGACTGATAACCAAACACATTCGAAAAGTTTGCCATACTTGAAAAATGGGTGGAGCAAAGCCTGTTGACATGACCACGTTTCTAAACATAATTTTAGATTTTGTAAATTACCTGCAGTGACCGTTGGTTTTCAATAATGGAAGCAAGGTTAACTTTGACTACCAACATACTAATACGTAAACAGTATTCCGAAATTACAGACCTGATTAAGGCGAAGTTGTTACATTGTCCAGAGGAAATGACTAGCGTGATTATAATTATAGAAAATTTTTTTATTATATTTAACAGAACCAAGATGGTGAGTATTGCTGATGTATGAATTTTATCGAAAACGACAAGGCTTCTATTGTTGAGTAGACATTCTTTGTGGAAAAAGCTGAACATGTGACGTTGTCAATTATTATCATCACGCATAGTTACTATGGAGTGAAGAGCTCATAGTCGTTTATACGACTGATCATACAGGTGACTTTGGCGTTGATCAAGCCGAGAGTGATAAAGTTCTTTTAAGGACTATCTTTAAGATTGATGTTTTCATATCGGTCTTTTCTCAGAGTCAAATATACCGTTTGATTTGAATACTCACCCAAGTTTTAGCGTAAACGTCACTGGCTCGTATTTCCATGCGTCGCGTTTGCATGATGCGAATAAAACAAACCTATCATAATAAGAATGCTGTTCCAGCCGACCAACTAATGCGTGCACCAAAGTTTCAAATATTAGCAAATCATATTATGGTGATTTTTTCAGAGTTGATAACGTAAGCAGAACGTCTTTTGAATGTCGATCAGGGTTCGTATATGTGCAAGCAGAGTTTATTGCAATGGGATTGTCGTCGGTGTGATGAGATCTAAACTGTGTGGCCCAATGTTGAGCAGCCAAGTTTAAAGATAATCTATTATGACTACGGTTACTAGCGCTTATCTTGCTTATCCTTGCTTATCGTTCTTTTTGTTCAAATTACTACATTATTGAAAGGAATGCAAGATTCAGAATAGAAAAGGTTGTGTATATCCAAACGGGTGATTTTGATTGGTTCATACAAAGAGACTTGGGCAAAAGGGTATTAAAACAACCATTGCGCTAGTAAACACATTGACGTACGCAAACATTTCAATTAAAAATCGACTACTTCTTTCGCAATAACTGCATTCAAATTGCCATACTTACACATATTGAGCCATCAATCACCAAAAACGTATGCTGCACTTTTCTCTGTGGTTTGCACAGAGTCTAGAGCCACATTCTCCCATTAATATTACTTATAAAGGACATCTGTAATGCCTCAAAGTACCAATAGAAAGTGATCGTAAAAAGTGTGAATAAATTAGGGAGGAGCGGTCTCCCTATAAGTAACTGGTCGCCAGTCATTATTAAGCAGAATATCTGAATAAACGAGAACTACACGTGAATAGAATGGGCTAGGCATTTGTTTCACCGGAAACTAGTTCAACTCAATCTAGTCAGATTGTAGCCAACATATTAATTTACGTGATTGCTTTGACGAGAATATTCATGATACCGTATAAGTCTGCTTTCATGTATGATTAGTTGAATCGCAACTAGATGTTCAAATTGTCTCCTTGACTCTGATACCAATGCTAAATAATAGAACAAATCGAATCACAGATGCGGTATATAGTCCGGATTTTACCCAGTTTAGAATTGATTGACAGCAGAATTGACGACGTGTGTAACATAGCCGCTAACTGATCACTTGATGAGAAACAAGCTTTTTGTGCACTTGTTTTATTACGCCAAGGTGGAATTGTGATGACTAAAAGTTATGCGTTTTTCACGAATAATGATTTTACACACCAATACAGAAGAGGCATCACCAGGTAAAATCAAGTTGCGACTGGTTTAAGATTCGGGAAATAGAACGTATAAGTCTGAAACGGGCAACGATGAAGGGCTAAAGTGAGAACAAGAGCCCATTCCCGTAATCAGCGTAAACATGATTAACAACTTGTATATTCGGAGCGAATCCCCGTGTTATACAATATGAAGAATATCTTCTCACATGCACCCTCGTAACAGGTATGTCCCCTTGTTAGGTGATCTTTCTTTTGTTCGAAAAACAGACACACCATTTACTACTACAAACCCTGCTGGATGTATAGTATACAGTACAGTACATATTACACCGTATACACAAACTCATTCCTAAACACCATATGTTTAAAGTTGCAACATGCCACAAAATTTTAGCGCTTGTCGCTTAAAACTATCAAGGAGGGAGGGGAGAGGTATGGTTGTATTTTACTGACACAGTAGCAATTATTGTTCGCATGCTCTGGGTAGACAATGGCTATCTCTGAAGAAATCCGATTGGTCTGATAAGAATGTGATAAGAGTTAGATTTGAGTAAGCGTGGGTAAAAGCCATGTATAATCTCCACAATCACGTGATATATCCCAGATGCGGGTCATACTTTTATTATTGTTTCATTTCGCAGAGTATCCCAGCCCAAGATCGGGGTATTGTCGGGGCAGTTCATCCAACTCAACCGACAGTTTACTGAGATCCAGTGGAACTGGAGTTCCCATCCATGCGGCTCTTTCGGAATGATCACGGACCTGAGAAATAAATATTACGCGATTGTTGTTGAGAAAGTACACCATGTGCCGTGCATCAATAATATTTGGTAAATATTATGATATCGATACCTCTTCTTTGGTCAACGGATGAATCAGGATCGAGTGTGGACCTCGATTAAGTAAGAACCATGAATACACTCGAGAGAAATGCTCCTTGGGGCACCATACTTCATATGAACCCTTTTGGGGAAAAAACATGACGATAATATGAGAATTGGTTTCATTATAGCAACAAAAAAAAATCGTCATTATTTACTATTGTGTGCGGTCCTATTGGTGCATAATTCCAACGACCAAGAGGAACAGGATGGAAGAAGCCTTCTTCCACCAGATCAAGAATTCTCTGTCGTAGTGCTAATGCCGACGCTTTGTTTGTTTCGTTGTCCTAATGGAATTGTGCGGGTTGTCAACAAGAGCACGCTCTGATCGCACAAACTTGCTATCAAAGGCAATTCATATTACTTGGAAGAAGTAAACATGAAAGTGGAATTCTTTTATCTCTTCAGCTAATTCCTTGTCGAGAGAAGCCATCTTGGTGCACAAAATGGGAGATTGAGATAAAAAATACGACACCAATCATCGTTCATGTGACACAAGTATGTAGAATTATCACACTATAACATGTGCAGTTGGGCATGTCAGCTGGCCGCCCCATACTTTTTGATGCTTTCAGGGGCGGGTTTAGAGTCGCGGGCAATCACACAATGTTGCGCAAAATGTCGTACATTAGGCTAATTCTTATAGTGTGCAATGGTGTGTAATTATAAAGGACGGGACGGTTTCTCCGAACACCGACAATATTAAATACAGTATCTGGTTGTGTACGAGGGGTGAAAAATAGAGTATGTCAGGTTGTTTAGGTTATTTGATAAGCTTGATAAATGTTTGACTGCGGCAATCGGTTATACTGTATTATGTGTGCAATCTTTATTGTGTGACATTAAATGTCATATGACACAAGTCCTTAATTTCCTATCCTAACTGCCATGTTCTCACTCCGACAACTTGAATAAATTAATTATCCACCAGTGAGTAACGAGTGCAATCGTGTTTATTATCGTATGGGTGGGAGGTTTGGAGCGGGTGCAAGAATATTAATTGTGGGCGAATTTTAATTTTAGTTTGTTTGACCATCGGGAATTTTATTTCTCTTGTAACTATGACGGTCGATAGGCAAATTTCCAATGTTATCTTTTGTTTGGTTACATCATTGGGTTACAGAGATTGCTCTTTTTTTTTTTTCCCACTTGTGAGTTGCGATTATCACAGCACACGATTGCTGATGTAAGTCGCATAAAAAACCTGTTGCAGTGCAGTGTGGTACTTGCTGATAGTATGTAATGTAATGTATATGCAGTTAATGTAATGTAATGTATATGCAGTTACTGCCAAGATTTGATATTAGTTTTGCGTTGCGTTCCTGCCGTGTTGATGTAGTGTCTGTGTGCTTCAAAGTTGATTAGTGGTAGGCAATAAAGTTCGAGCAATGGTAGTTGAGTTTGTGATGCGTGCATCGTTTCGAGGCATCTGCTATTGTCAAAACGTACATGCAATTGACATCTCGCAAAGTACTTTTGATGACTAAAGTGGGTTTATAATAACGGCGACGGTTATTATTGGTCAATGATGCTAGTTTAAATATGTCCTATATATGTGTTGACAATAAAATGTGTTTGGACAGCAATGACAATAGCAAGAATAACAATAACGCAACGACGATGACATAACAAACGACACGGTAACATAATAAACACTGTAACATTCTCCTTGAGACGCATGATGTCATATATAATCTCTCTTACTTGCTCGCTCACTCACTCACTCACCCGCCCACTCATCCAATAATGTGTGCTCTCTAATTTTCTTTTCGATCTCTTACCCCTCTTTGCAATTGTGTGTTACCAAGTATCTGGATTATTCTTGTGACGAATCAAAGATAAAAGCTTATAAATAATATATATTACTGACAATTGATAGAATACCAATCATATTTTGCAATCGCCGCATTCCAGAGACTGTGCGTGCACATGTAAAGGCTACAATGGCACACAAATCGATAAATTTATCGTTGACGTTATACAAAGGATGTGCATGCTTCTATGTGTGAGATGTCCGTTTATAGCATTGCAGATTGCTTACACAATATTTTTGATCAAAACAAATAGGATTGACCAAACGACCTATCAAAATAACTATATAAATTGTCACATAAATATCAAAAAATGTACATAAATGATATTGTAAGTAATCAGCATCGACAATGTTTATCCATTATGTGTATCATTATCAAAGATTAATATTTTATTTCCTGTATATCGATCATGCACAAATAACCTTAAACAATTTTAAACTCGCGCTATATAAAATATCCCATTTCCATATCTTTGATCCACATATAAGCTAACTAACTAACCTGTTCCCCCCTCCCTCCCCCTTCCCCTCCCTCAAACTCAACAGCCCATTCCTTCCCTCCCATTCATGATTAGTGGTTGCACCGATATACTCTGAGAAACTCGAACCAAAAAAGTAAACCACGCATCTCTCCATCTCTTTTTCTCCCCACCTACTTAATATATTCCCATCAGCCCTTCTTTTAATTTGTAAATGTTCATAACAGACATCACGTCTACTTAAAATATCGTAAGTATCTCTTCAACTAATATGGACTAGAAAGCAAAACATTTAATGTTATTGTTATACCAATGATATAAATACATGGTAATTCACCCTCCCCATTCTAGATCTTTCTTTCTCTTTCTCTCTCCTTTTCTCGATATCAATCAGTATGGGCCATAGATATACAAAATTACAAAGATTCAGAAGATTAAGAAGCAAATCGAAAGACTCTTTGCAAGTGAAGCAGGTCGAAGAAGCAGCTGCCGACTCTATTAATCATGCAAACTTTTCGTGGTTACATGGACGAAAGGTGTCGGATGAGAAGAATTACGTCTTACCAAAAGACGGCGTTGAAGTAAGCCTTCAAATTAATTCTTATAGTTAAACCAACGATGTTAATCCACTTGTAGGACTATTATAATCAATGGGAAATTAAACAAAACCCTTGTTTGTAACCGATATTAATATCTATTTCTTTTTCGTGGGATTAAACGTTTTCATTCTTATTCAGTTCGATCGATTGACTAATCTGGTAAGAACAACCAAAGCAGATTTCTCTAGTCATGTCAATGTTCTGTCTTTTTAATGCCATAAACAAACTATCGGCTCTTTGATATTAGCATTTATTGTGGAAGTATGTTTTACGTGGAAATCATCAGGCGCCTTTGAATCCAAACATGAAAGTAAGTAATATGTAGAATCAACATATGCATCATACACACTACACACACGTTACACCCCATTATATAATGTCTGATCTATTTTTTTTTTAAAACCCTTTCACAGAATTGTCTCGAAATATGGTGAGTTTGATGTATAATCCACCCAATTCCCATCTATCTCAGGCTAGTCTCAATTCACGTTTATTCATTGTATTACTACAGCGTTGGGAATGGTGTCTGGATTAAAGAAATGGCATCGTAAGTGTTCTAAAAAATTATATATATTTAATTATATATAAGCTGTCTGTTAATTATTTTGCCAATTCTTTTTCAGTCAATTTCCCGATTGTCATTTTGAAGGGATTGATCCCGATCTCTCAATATCAAGCGAAGATCTTCCAAGTAATTGTACGGTTACGAAAGGGGATTATACAGGTACATATCGTTTACGTTATAACCATAACCAGTAATATTTTTTATTCTGATTATTGTAGCGAGTTAGGATTGGTCATTAAATTATCAATCATTATATTTCATTCTTACTTTCTTTATTGGTCACTCTTGTATGTTCTTAGCCCTCCCCTATCCGAATGATCACTTTGATTATATACATTGTAGATTGTGTTTCACTTGGTTGCCATCTAACAAGATTGGTCCCATATTGGATGAATTCAAACGAGTAACTAAGCCCGAGGGTTGGATCGAGGTAATTTTTTTTTTAGAAAAAATAGAGAAAAGTTAAATCCTCCTGCCAGTCATTGTCGCAACGATTAAATAGCCGAACTATTAACTAAACCTTAACGATCATTCTGTTCCACTTAAAAATATCAGATACTGGTAAGTACACAAAGACTGCATTTTGTCATTGTACACAACAATACATCGAATATACAAACAGTCTAGAACAAATAATGACATAATTGTTTTTATTGTAGGAACTCGATCTATACCCACGAAATACTGGGTCGTATTACGATAATTGGAAAGGCACATGGAAGTTACTCAATGACAGCAAATTGTATGATGTAAAAGCAATCAGATCGCTTGGCGAATCTCTCAGAACGCGCAATCTTGTGGATGTCACTGATAATTCATTCTCAATGCCTATCGGAAATTATTGTGGCACAATCGGAAAACTTTGGGCTGATCATCTGCAAGCAACATTCCAATCGGCTTCTGGTGCCGTATTGGAACATATGACCATGAACCTTGAGGATTTTAACAAGTTTATCGAAAACATGTTGGATGAATTCAACGAAAAGCAGTCGTTTAGCAACGTCCACATGGTTTTAGGAAAGAAACCCAAGAATGAAAAACAAGTCGAGACTAATCAAGAAAAATTAAGATGATAAGTAATTGTGTAAAGAAATGTCGTATAAATTGTAAATTCTTGTGAAAAATAAATATCAGATTGCGAAATATTGTGCGACTTTTTGTTTTCTTTTCCCTGATCTTGTATCACACGAATTATGCAACGGATCTAAGATTCTATATTGACATTCTATTTCACGTTTATCAGACCCCTACTCATGAAGAACGTGTTTATTATTTTTAATGTAGCCCTGGAAGGATTGGCCTACAAAGAGATTTACATGGACGGAACATTTCTGATATGAATAGAGAACAATCATATTCCGAATCAGTTGAACCATCCCATCCGTCTACTTACAATTATGTGATACTTTGTAATCAGTATCAGTCTCCTTTGGATGAGTTCCTTCGTCACTGCTATAAATAACGGTCGGTAAATAGAAACTCGATATAAGAAAGGCATTGCTATTCGTTGTTATGCTCTCCACCTTTGTGATCTACTCTTTCTTCCATAAGGTTCCCTGTAGACGAGAAATGTATCAATATCATAACCACGAGAACTCTTGTTGGTAGTGTCATAGTAATGATACTCAATCTTTACCTTCGTCATCAAAAAATGTCACAATCACTCCGAGTGCAATACCAACACTTCTATCAACTCCCTGGTTACAATGGATTAGGATTTTCCTTCCCCCTTTTAACGGCTCACTCAAGAAATCTATTGCCTTTGGTAACATGTTATATAAAATATGTTGACCTTTCTTACCCTCCGGAATGGGTAGTAGCAGATAATTCTTTTGAGGCAAACATTCATTAAACTCTTGAGGCGTACAGTTAACGATATAGTCAAAATGATTCCAACATGCAGGCGGACATCCTTTTCGCGAACAAAATGTTAACATGAAGCATTACGTATTAGCATACATACATTTCACTTGCGTTCGATAGAAAGTGACATACTGACCACTCATCCTATTGCCAATCGCTATGTTTGTATTTCCAATAAAATGATACGAGTCCGGTAATATGTCATGTATAGCATAAAGATGGAACGATTGTTCCATTTGTGATTGTGCATCGACAATGTCCTTTACAATTCTCTCGCACTCGGCCGCATCTCGAGTTTGGAGTAATCGATCACGATGTTCCCAGAACAGTGTAGGCGTAAGTCCCTAGGTTATGTTGAAGATGAACGGATGAGCATAGATATGGCAAGTCGTGGAACATGCTAAAGAGGGAATTGAAAATTACTATAATTTACCATCGCCCATGTCTCTTGGTCATCTGCTGCCCCCTGGACATACGAATACTTTGTGGTTCCACTGTAATGGTATTCCATTTTGGTTGAAATCGTCTTTGATGCACTTACACATATTAATGGATAAAATGGTGCATCTGTATAATTTACAGTGTCGTCGTTTAGTATATTAGAATCTGGGCTGATCCGGAGCGGGCGAAGTGGCTTTGAAAGCTTGGAGGAGAGTTCAGCTATATCAAAGCCAGAGTTCTACACGAATAGGATGAAAGGAAATGAATCAGTATATTTATCAAATTGTCCTTGAGAATGCCATTGGCGATGGCATTACAACCACAAATACATGACGTACCAAAAATCTTTTAGCAAATTGAGGAATGAGTTTTCTTATTTGATCACTTTCGGACTTGGAGACTACTGATAAGGAATGAAACTCGACATCCCATTCACATGTCTGACTTTTATCATCAGTTGCAGACTTGGACACATTCTGTCTGAACTGCTGAATGGCGTTGTTTATAGTTGCACACCAAATGGGAATAGTTTTTGACAATGCATCTGGAAATTTCTTGCCGCTTTGTGTTGAATCAACTATAATACAGCTGAGTAATCAAGAGATTCAATTTATTGGTTTTCCGACTTTTTTATCTTGAAAAAAGTTGGATAACATGAGAACCTACCCGCCATTCTCAATTATCACACCCAAAAGATGTGCATTGAGTCGACGCAGATTGAAACTCCATTTCCCAATGTGTCCGTCAGTCGATTTGAAATAGACTGAATGTCGATGAGCCTTATTGTAATTAAGATACGATTGCTTGGCTATATTATTTAATATTGGTATTTCGCATAAAATATAAATTCATTTCATATCTGTCAAAAATCAATACCTTTGCAGTATTAATATACCATGAGCCACAACGTTCATTCGCTTGATACAACAAATACCAAATACTAATCGTGAGCTGTCAGTGCATCATGGTATTATACACTAACTAGTACTGTAATTTTATAATCTACCGATTAACGGATACAAAGGCCACAGTTCGGCTACTTTATTAACAAACATGGCATCTTCATTGATTGACATTAATCTATTGTAGCTGTTATGAAAATAGTCAAGTATAATGAGCGTTGCATCTTAATACACACAAACTAACGTACATTAATGTCTCACATATTCTTGGAATCTTTTCTCAATTGGTCTGAAGTAGAATAAATGTCTTTGGTAAACTCTTCGTGCAAGTAGAGTTTGGATGCGACCATTGTCTTTGGGAAAAAAAAAAAAAAAAGGACTTTCAGATGCGATAATAGTTTATTTATATTTATATCATACATGTCACGTGATAACAACGTCTAAGTAGTGAATGAATGTACATGAAAATGTTCGCTTACGAAAACCTGTTCGCAATCGAATGGTGGGTTATTGAGCAATAGCAGTGACTACTCCATTATTGTCTCTCGCCGGAGGCATTGGCCAATCTACGAGCAATGCTTCAATTGGAGTGGCCGGCTTTTGCTGTGCGACGACTCTCCTCTTTACTATTTTTTTCTTTTTGGATATTCTCACTTGAGTTGGAACGCCTTCCATTCCACTATTGTTGATAAGCAATGTGATACCTTTTCCATCTACATCCTCGACCATCTTCCATTCTTTTGCCCTCTTCACCTCTACTTCGTATCCCTCCCGAAACATTGTTTTGCAGAATCTCACTTGAGTGACAGGCTCTTTCAGTCCACAGTCTACTTTATATATCAGATTGTAAGTACCTAATTTGTGTTCGAATTCTTCAGTGAGAACAGTGATTCCCTGTTTGATGTTATGTCTTTCAAAATAAGGAGGAAATCCGAATTTACTAGCATAACTTGAGACCGTGGCTATGCACTGTGGCAATTGCATGGCAAGAGTATTAATCAAAGTCTGAGGCACGCTCCCTCGCAGATCAATCTGCACCACGTAAGTTACTTGAACACAAGGAGCGTCGATATGAACGGGCGATACCGGCGGTGCATAGACATCATGAGATTTCATTAGAAATCTTGGCGACGTTAGGATCGGCGGTGGTCTTGAACATGCTCTCATTCTGGATTTTACAGGATTTACCGGTTCGACAGTTGACAATGAAGTTGGTGCTGGTCGTGATTTTCTGCGATGAAGAATCCATCCTGCAATGTTCAGTTCGCATCTGATACGTTTGTTATTTGGATCTGGAGCAATCAAAGGGTCTTCTACCGAGCGGCTTGCGTAATAGACAGTTTCTGTTGCAGAATCAATTTCCAAATTTGACAATAGACTGAAATCCCGATCACTGGAAGATGAATAAACGGATAATTAGAGAATTAGATCAAACAACAAACAAGTACTATAGAGAATGGTCCAAGTTGAGGGAGATTGCACAGTAAATATTTCGTCAACGTAGGCGATTATATATCGAATGCTGCCTGATAACATACCCAACAGGAAAACTTCCTTTCATTCCAACGTGAGTGAGTACTTCGTTAGAGTTGAACATGGCTACTGTGTGTCCAAAGTCCATTCGTTCATCCCCTTTAATAAAGATGATGTAAGTAAGATTAGTAATAGAGTCAGTTTCTCATCTTTGATTACAAGCCTACTACATAAAAGCCGCA